AAAGTTCAAAATAATGTTGTAACTGTCTTGTTTATAGACTGTAAACAACTACAAATGGAATTCTGGGTACTTTTTTTAAATTAATGATCAATTTAAAAAAAGCTTTTTTGTTGCAGAAGGCCCTGCCATGTAGGAAAATCACGATTTTAGTGATTGGATCCAGAGTTGCTCTGATGGTTGCGTACCCACCTACAACTACAGCCAAGTTTTATTATTCTTATTTTTATCTCTTTAAATCAGTAACCATGGATGGTCCTCTGGCTGTGCTGCAGACACAGTCACATGTCATCACCTGACATGACAAACCTTTGTGTGGAATTCCACTTTTATTTTAAAGTAGATAAAAATCAGTTTTAACTGAATTTAAGTTAAAATAACACATAAAGGCCTTTTATCTTTACTGCGTTTGGATGAATGTGAGTCTGCAAAAGAAGAAAGAATCAGATCAGATTTTCTATTTTTTCTGTTGTTCAATCTAGGGACTACACAATATATTAATAATATCAGGGATTATGATATCAATATACTGTACACTAGATCTCACAAATTACTGTTTGGACAGCAATCAATTATAAGTCATCATATTTTAACTCTTTACATGTCTGTCTGCCCAAAACTATTATTTTTGGTCAATCAAACATTCATTGACCTTATTGTAATTACAGAAAAGAATGTGAGGAAAATGTGGGTTTATCACAATTTTAATCAATAATATCACAAATGTTTCTATCATCGTGCTGCCTCAGTTTTATCCAGTCGAGATCAGCTGATCCTCAGACATTAAAGTGCCTGTGACATCAAATTTTTGTAATAAATATGAATGCTTTTTTTTGGAAAGATAACATTGATAAAATTTTGCAAAATAAATTTAATGTCTCTGAGATGAACGTTTGTTGAGATATTTGCATGTGAATTAACAGGAAGTGATGTCAAAGGGGAATGTCAGTATGTAAACAGAGTGTTGATACAACAGCTAACAACACAGACTGTAGAGAAGAATCTGATGTTTCTTTAGATTATTTTGAGTTGCTATCAAAGAGAAATGAAGAAGAGTTAAAGTTTAAATAATATTGTTTTAATAAACAAAGACCAGTGAGTTTATTTCATTAAAGAGTTCCCCTTTGATATCACTTCCTGTTTCATKTAGGCTGAACCAAGTTCAAAAGGAAATGGGCCATTAATGTGACAACATGGGTAAAAATCATGTGCATTATGCCAATTTTCTTCAGTATAAAGATGTTTTCTTTAACGTCACAGGGCCTTTAAAGAACATTTAGTTTGTTGTTCCCTCAAACACTCCTGAGTTTGTTTACCCATAAAATATATACTAGAGTCATCCTCAGCCGTCTATTCAGCAGCTTTTACTTCTATAATTACATTTAAACTCTTGATAAAGGGAYTTTTCCAAATGAAAGATTTTTATTTTCTAAATTAGTCATCCTCTATCAAAGTTAGCTTAACTGGAACACAGATATGTTTTAGCTTAAAGTGTAACTTACCCCCCTGTGAAAAGATAACTCCGCCCCAAGGCGAAATTTGAAAAATGCATCAAAGTGGGTAGGGGAGGGGGTGTGGGTAGGGGAAGGGGGGTTAGAGAGCGGAGGTGTGGCCAGCACGAGAGAACGTTGGTTACGTATTGTAACCCCAGATTCTATGAGTGTAAGCGCAGCCCTCTAAGGCTATCGCAGAT